GGAACGGCGGCTCTTTGGGGAGGAGCTCACCTGGGTTGAGAGCAAAGTTATCGATGAGGCTCTTCCAGGCGATGAAGGCGATCTTCTTGATGGTGGGAGAGGAGCTGCGGAAACCAAGCTCCTCCAGACGCAGCAGGGAGTTGATGAAAGGACCTCCTTTATGCAGCAGCTGGAAGGGACGACATGTTAGCGCTGCGCTAAAATGCTACTTTTACATTCTAACTGGAGTAAAAAGCTCAAGTTGATCCTCTAACTTCTACTGGAGTAATAAACTTTACTACATCTGCCACCTCTGACAGCTTTACCTTCCCGAGAAGCTTCACAAACAAAGGCCAGAGCTTCAGGACGTTGGTCTCATTCTTGGACATGAAGAGCTTCTGCAGATCTGGGATCAGTTTCTGTGAGAACAAACAACAGCAGGAGATCAGAGTTTACCTCAGCCTCTCCGATTCAACGCGACGCTCCCGCACAGAAACTCACCGCCGACATGATGGGCTCCAGGTAGGCCGCCACCTCCGCCTGCTTGGCCAGCAGCAGGGGCATGCCCATCTCCAAGGCCGCGGCGGCGCGCAGGCGCACCTTAGAGGCAGAGTGCACCACCAGCGGGATGACCAGCTTGGCCCACCGCACCGCCCCGTCGCTCATCTGGGTCGGCACCTGCTCTATCATCCTGAAAGCGAGACGAGCAGAGCGGCGTGAGCGAGTCGGCGAGGCACCGCTGAGAGCGGCTCAGGGGACGCTTCTACCTGATGATGACGTTCAGGGCTTCGTGGTCCATCACCGCAGACTGGAGGTCCTCTCTGCTCCACACTCTCTCCAAGGAACCCAGTAAAGTCGGCACGTTTTTGCTGACGACATCAGCAGGAAAGCTCTGTTTGGAAATTACCCATAATGCTCTGGTACAGGTGTTCTTATCCATCGACTTGGTCACCAGGGAGCAGAGCGCAGACAGGATCTGTGCAGCAAAGGTCTCTGGAATACAGAGGTATCACTCTGAGCGATATCATCACACTGAAGTTAAAAATAAATAAATAAATAAAAAAACGTACCAGAGATTCCAGAAACCACCTGAGAGTGATAAACGCAGAACCCCAAAGCTTGCAAGGCAGCCTGGCTCAGCTCAGCGTTCGGACTGCTGGTGTGGAGCTGGGTGCAAAATAAAGACCATCATCATCATCATCAGATTTCTCTCCGCTCTGACTTAACCCGAAATCCCACATCCTCCGCCGCTGCTTCGCTTCAGACCGCCTGCGCGAAGCCTACAGCCTCCGCTGTTCCTCCCGTGCCGCCCCGTAGAGACTGACATTTTTTTTTTCGGGATGGGAGTCAGTATGAGTAACGATTACGTGATTGGGACGGTACAGGATTAAACATTAACGGGAGCAGACGGGATAGTACCAGTAACTAAAAAAAAACAAACTAGGATCGATGCCAAAACATAAAATAAAATAGAAAGAA